ATGGTATAATGAGAAAAATGCCTGGGACATAGCAATACCAGGGTACTCTTTATATAGAAAAGATAGAGAAGGCAAGAAAGGGGGAGGGGTATAAAATCTAGCCTAATAAAAGTTAGGAAGGCGAACATAGAGTCTGTTTGGGTTACGTTAAAATTTGGAGATCACACAGTAACTTGTGTAGGTGTGAATTACAGGTCCCCCTGGACAAATAGAAGAGTTAGATAATCTACTAGTTGAGGAAATAGCTAAAATGACAATGAAGGGGGAAGTTATCATCATGGGTGACTTTAATCTTCCTGATTTGAACTAGAAAACCAAAATAGCTGCTTGTGCCAGGAGCACACATATTCTAAACTCCCTACTGGGATTGTCTCTAAAACAAGTTGTTGAGGAGCCAACTCGTAAAGAGGCCATACTAGATTTAGTGTTAACAAATGGAGATTTGGTATCAGATATTACTGATCCAGTGATCATCAGTCAGTGTGGTTTTATCTAAGAACAGTGACTGAGTCACACCACACAAAAACTAAAGTTTTAGACTTTAGAAAAACAGACTTTTCTAAAATTAGAATATGCATAAAGGAGTCCTTGTCAGACTGGAGCAGTTTAAATGGAGTCCAGGAGAAATGGGATTATTTAAAAGTTGCACTACTGAAGGCAACATAAAATTGCATTAGGCTTGTCAGTAAAAGCAAAAAATTCAAGAAATCACTGTGGTACTCCGCAGATGTGGCCAAAATAGTTAAAAACAAAAAGTTAGTATTTAGTAATTATAAAAAAAACCAGAGTGAGGAAGACAAAATGATCTATAAGATTAAGCAGAAAGAGGCTAAGCAAGTTATAAGAGCTTCCAAATCACACACAGAAGAGAAAATAGCACAGTCAGTAAAAAAGGGGGATAAAACACTTTTTAGATACATAAATGAGAAAAGGAAAGTAAAACAAGGATTAGTTAGATTAAAAACAAAAGAAGGAATGTATGTAGAAGAGGATAAAGGTCTAGCTGATTGCCTCAATGAATATTTTTGTTCAGTATTTACAGATGAAAATGAAGAAAAGGGGCCTCAGTTAGGAAAAAGGACAAATGAGTCATTTGTTACATGTGAGTTTACAGAGGAAGAGGTTCTATTTCAACTGTCAAAAGTAAAGACAAATAAGTCAATGGGACCTGATGGAATACACCCAAAGCTATTAAAAGAGCTTAGTGGTATACTAGCAAAACCATTAACAGATTTATTTAACCAATCATTGTTAACAGGAGTAGTCCCAGAAGATTGGAAGTTAGCGAATGTTGTGCCCATTTACAAGAAAGGTAATAGGGAGGAGTCGGGCAACTATAGGCCAGTAAGCCTTACTTCAGTAGTGGGGAAAGTGATGGAAACCATGTTAAAGGATAGGATTGTTGAACATCTAAAAACACATGGATTTCAAGATCAGAGACAACATGGGTTTACTTCAGGGAGATCATGTCAAACTAATCTTATTGATTTTTTTGATTGGGTAACTAAAATTATAGATCAGGGTGGTGCAGTAGACATTGCTTACCTAGATTTCAGTAAGGCTTTTGACACTGTTGCACATAGAAGGCTTATCAATAAACTGCAATCTTTAAGTTTGGATCCCAATATTGTTGAATGGGTAAGGCAGTGGCTGAGTGACAGGCAACAGAGGGTTGTAGTTAATGGAATATATTCGAAGCTTGGACTTGTCACCAGTGGGGTACCTCAGGGATCTGTACTTGGACCCATTCTCTTTAATATTTTTATTAGTGATATTGCAGAAGGTCTTGATGGTAAAGTATGTCTTTTTGCTGATGATACTAAGATATGTAACAGGGTTGATGTTCCAGGAGGGATAAGCTAAATGGCAAATGATTTAGGTAAACTAGAAAAATGGTCAGAGTTGTGGCAACTGACATTTAATGTGGATAAGTGCAAGATAATGCATCTTGGACGTAAAAACCCAAGGGCAGAGTACAGAATATTTGATAGAGTCCTAACCTCAACATCTGAGGAAAGGGATTTAGGAGTAATTATTTCAGATGACTTAAAGGTAGGAAGACAATGTAATAGAGCAGCAGGAAATGCTAGCAGAATGCTTGGTTGTATAGGGAGAGGTATTAGCAGTAGAAAGAGGGAAGTGCTCATGCCATTGTACAGAACACTGGTGAGACCTCACTTGGAGTATTGTACACAGTACTGGAGACCGTATCTTCAGAAGGATATTGATACCTTAGAGAGGGTTCAGAGAAGGTCTACTAAACTGGTTCATGGATTGCGGGATAAAACTTACCAGGAAAGGTTAAAGGATCTTAACATGTATAGCTTGGAGGAAAGACGAGACAGGGGGGATATGATAGAAACATATAAATACATAAAGGGAATCAACACAGTAAAGGAGGAGACTATATTTAAAAGAAGAAAAACTACCACAACTAGAGGACATAGTCTTAAATTAGAGGGGCAAAGGTTTAAAAATATCATCAGGAAGTATTACTTTACTGAGAGGGTAGTGGATGCATGGAATAGCCTTCCAGCTGAAGTGCTAGAGGTTAACAGAGTGAAGGAGTTTAAGCATGCGTTGTCACGACAAGGGTGTATAATTTATTATTACACTATGGAATATCATCCTTTAATGTACAAATTACAGAGATGCTATTGCTGAGGTCAACAGGGGTTATATCTTTTGAAGCTGGGACCCCCACAGAGGTCAGATGACAGAATGGGTAGTGTGAATGGCATAGCAATGTGAAAAGGGTTTTACTATATGGATGTGAAGTAATCAAGGATCTGCAAGGTGTGAGGTTCTACACTTGGAAAAGTCTGAATGTCTCTTCATCCATTTGGCATGTACCTTGTAAAGGATAGTTCAATCATTTGAAATGGTAATGGGATTCGTTTCATGAAGATCCTTGTGTTCCAGTATCTTATCCAAGTGAAACATTCATACTTACCCACAGGTTAATAATTAAGCCTCATTTTTATTATATTTGGAATGGGACAAGCCCAATCTTTTAATTAAGCCCAAACATGAGTTGCACAACTTAAACCGTGTGGCAGGACTTGTGATGTCCATCCTATTGGATCGTGGGCGGGGCGTGCAACATGTCTTTGGAATGGGAAAACAATAACAAATTCATAGAGGCAATTATTATTTCTGTGGCAAGTACAGTAGAGGAGATAAAACCAAAAGTTTGTATGTGACTTGTTGGTTTCTGGAACAAAGGAGGTGGTCACTTAGTATCCCTATTGCTCCACCCCTGGATGAGGCGTGGTAATTCACAGGGTATATCTCCTGTGATTCTGAAGGGTGTTGGTGTACTTGCTTGGGGCCAAGATCTAATTTTGAGTGAGTCACCATCTTTCCTTGCCAGAGACCCCCTGGACAGAAGTTGTACTTTGAAAACCTAAGTGAGTAATTAGGACTTCTGTATTTTATCCTTTTTGTTGGTGTAAATAATTTATCATATATTTTTATATGCACTGTGACTATCTTTTGATCATAATAAACATTCATTTATTAAGTTTTGCCTTTGTCTGGTTAAGAATCACTTTACCTGAAGAGACTAGTTAGTATTTTTATAATTCCTTAAATATTGTACTAAGTAATATTTGGTGGGTTTTATAGTTGATTTACCTGGTGAACCAAGGCACCCCATTTATAAATTGTCTTGGTGGTGGCAGCGTTGAAATGGTAATAGTTATATTATTATGTTTAAGTGTGGGTGGTTTTAAAAAGGGGAATTTTGTCATTATTTCCGGTCTAGTGCAGACAAATAGTGTACTTTAACCCTTTCACCGCCACAACTACGTCATGCACACTCTTGGAGTAGGGTGCGTTCGTGACATGCGTGGGATAGGCATAAGGCTATCCTAGACTTAAGATAAGGCCAGGGACAAATTAAAAGTATTTTGAAATTTTGGGTAGACTAGATGGGCCGAATGGTTCTTATCTGCCACCACATTCTATGTTTCTATGAACCTGTTTAACATTATACTCACTAACATAAGATTTATCTTGTTTATGTTATAATATAAAATTGTGCAATTCCTTTCTAATACCCCAATTGTAACGTATGATACTAGGCTTGAGAAATGCCGTTGGGGTACCTCAAGCTTGTTTGTACTCAGCTTATGCACAGCAAAAACATTTTTTTTTAAAAACAGCCTTGGTCCTTAACAGTAAGAAAATTTTAAACCGGTCTGGTCACTAAGGGGCAAATTAAAATATCTATCTATTCCATCTATCTCAGTCATTCTGTATATAATTTTGTGGTTCATACATATAGTCAGATACCTTATGAGGTGGCCATCCTTATACGAACACTATAGCATTAGGAATATAAACCTGTACAGGTAATGCTATAGTGTCCCTAGCTCTACAAAAGGTACCTGTTCTCCCCCTGCCCCCCATGTTTGGAGACATTGGAGACATAATGAGCATGTACAGTATGTGTTGCACATACATTCAAACTTCCCCAAAGGGAAGCATTGAGTCAATACTTTCCTATGGGTCTTCTGTGTCAAGTCAGTGAAGCAGAAGCGACTCTAGTGGCTGTCACGGTGATAGCCACTAGAGGTGGACTTAATCCTAAAATATAAATATTGCAGATATCAGGGTACTGTTGCGTAGTGGTGGGCTTAACACAAGATGGCCCTATAGTGGAACTGAATTCCCATATTTGTTTGCTGAGAAAGGTGATTTAAGTAACCTTGTAAAACGTAAAACTATTTTTGTGTGTGTGTTGTTCCTTAATCTGTGTTTTGTATAAATGTTGGTCTCTACGACAGCACCACTGCTGAAAAACGTATGTTCCAGGTGTGCCCCCAATTCTTTTTTTTTTTTTACTATGTAAAGTTTGAAGAGCTGAAAAATATTTGTTTGTTTCACAAAATACCCACTGAGTCAATATTACAATGTAACCTTTAGATTAAACAATACCAAAACCATGATTATTTTTCAATGGCAAACGGATAACTGAAGATGTCAAGAAATTATGATGTTTTTTATCCAACAAACTTTATTAATACACAACAATCTCAACCTGCAGATACCAAAGATAAATAGACAAATATGTATCTTGTGATGTTTGACAAACATGTGATGAGTATTTTCTAAAACCTGACACAATCCTACCAAATAGTCTGGTAAATTACAGCTTTTTAAATGAGTTTGCAAAAGTGTTTAAACAGCTTGTGTAGAGTTGAGAAATTAAACAAAAAGCCTGTATGGCAGCAGTATCAAGACAGAATCTTTATGAAAAGCTCTTTAGACTGTGCTAGAATTTTTTTGAAATTCCATTGCAAGTAAAAGATATGCATTTGACAAAGTAGAGACTAGTACTACTGTGTCTCGTGTAATTAGCAAAAATATTAGGTGGCGGCTGGTACCTCTCACAAAACTAGGGCAGGCCAGGAGATCTATGTCCAACCTACACATTAAAGTTTCACCAACATCTGTTTTCTGCACTGTATGCTGTCACCAAGGGCTTTTCTAGGTACATGCTACATTTCTAGGTGGGCCTGACCATTATGGGTGTCACCAGTGACCTAGGTCACGTCTCAGGTGACACCTCTCAGATCTTTCCAGATTCCATAACTTCACCAAATGGTTCACAATGAGAATAGTGCTCCGTGGGATCACCTAGTACATTTTTTTATGTGTGCACGATTTAGTAAATCATTCCAACTATATAGGTATATCATGTCAAGACTTAATAGAACTTGTTCACAAAATACTAATACGGTGGGAACTAATTATTAAATCATGCACACAATGTAGAGCTCCATACTATAAAAGTACAAAAACCAATTAGCCCATATCCAGGTTCAGACAATCAGATGTAAATATTGGATGATTGGTCATTGTGGTTGGCCACCAAAGAGTTCTTGAATGGCCCATTCATATTGCAAGCTGCTTTGCTATGCAGCCTTGCTATATATATTTATTCAATTACTCCCACAAAGTTATTGTTATCGTGTGCATGTTCTATTAAATTGTGAGCACAATTTAATTTAAAATTTATAAAATCCTCGGTGGAACCAAAATGCCAGCTAAGGAGAGTAAGAACGGCAAAGAGCAAGCCCAGAAAGGTTAGTTGTGCACAAAAGAAAAAAAAATACACACAAAAAATGTTTATGATGCACAGTTCAATAGTAATTCTAATCCTCAGAGTAGTTATATAATTTACTATGCTGGCCCACAAATCTTACAAACCACAAAATACTGGTTTCCACAGTTTGTACACAGTTAATGCACATTAAATCTTAGTCTCTTTCATAGTACCGTCCATACAAAGCAGCAGACAATAGGCTAGATGACATGTCGTTAGCATTCATATAGAACTTATTGCCTTTCCAGCCGCTGAAGTCAGGTAATTGTACGGTTACACCTGATGTAAGCAATAGAGGAAAGATGTGCTTCGTGCTAAAATTCCCCCACAGCTGGAGATTTATCACACTGTCGGCATTTGTTACCTCGTGTCCACAAGTACTGGGCTCCAGTCCACCACATTTCACTAGAGCACAGATCTGTAGGGAATATGTGCCATGCACCGTATGAAGACCATCAAACACACCTAGAGCATACAGTTCATCAGATAAAATGGTTTTCTTATATTTCAGAAAGCAGCAGAGTGTTCCAGCACAAACATCCAGCATTCCTTCATTTTGCAAGAGAGGAACAAAAGTGAAATTATCATACATCATCTCACTATAGAACGCATGATGTGGAACCTGGTCAGTGGCAACGTCTCGCCCACAGGGCTCCTCTGTTTCTTCTGTTTCACAAACTTGATGTTTAGTTAATATACTACTGTATATCACCTCACTGTTCTCTGGCCAAATCTGGTCCTTGGAACCTACAATAACATCTTCCGATGGGTTCACTGGCAGCTTTGCCAAAATAAGCGTACCATTTTCATTTGTCATGTCGTAGTGGTAGGAGGAGTATGAGGGGCTAAATATCCCACTGCCCGTCATACCAAGTGTTGTGTGGTGAATGTTTGCTGCAATAAAATTAATGTTAAAAGCAGATGCAAAGCCTCTCTGTATTTGAATGGCAGACAAGAGCGGCAGCTGGTTCATCCAGGCTGTTGGGTACACAACGTGCTTTACGTTGTACTTCTTGATCAGGCTCACCGCAGGTTCAAAGAACAGGATATCGAAACATGTAAAAGTGGCAAATTTGCTGGCAAATGGTGTGTCAAAAACCACATGCTGGACCTCGGGAGGTGTATCAAAGCCAAATTCAAAATACAAGTTTTGTTTAAAATAGGTGGCAATGAGTGTGCCATTGTCATTAAACACCACATTTGTGTTAAACTGGAATCTTCCATCTGATGGACATTGGGCTTTGAAAGGTTTACAGGACATCTTGGTTCCCAGGTTTGCAACCAGAAACATTCTGCCCTTTGTTGCCATACAACTTAAGCGTTGGAGAACCTGCAAACAGACAATGAGGACACAACACTGTTTATTAATGGACTGTACATAGTCCACACTAAATGCAGTTCATCCAGGCTAACCTTGTTGCAATTCTACTTTGTTGATTTTTCACTAGTATCCATTTCACATATTGCAATATGTATGCAGCTTTCATGCCCCCAACAGTCCCTATTTCGGCGATACATCCCGATCTTCGGTTTCTGTCCCACTGTCCTGGCTTTGTTCCCTGGTATCCCCACAAGCGCGTCATTAGACTGAAATCGCCCTGCATGCCCTGCCCTCAGTGGGTCGGCCTGCTTTATTAGTAGTAACCTACCATTAATTGGGGCGGACTCACCCCCTTTCTGGGCGTACCTGCCTCTTTTAGGGGCTACTGCATTTAGTCAAAGTGTTATGATGTTCTTCATATTCAAGTCCGTATTGGATTGTATTTACTTATTTTAAGTGATTTTTTTTTTTCTGGAGATTTGCCATCCCCTGGGTCTGAAGTACCAGTATGTTATTGACATTTTACTATTGGATATGTGTGTAGTTCCTATTGGATTCTTTGGGAACCTGCGTTATGTTCATGTCGGCTCCCTGTTGAGATTTTAAAGATGATACCAGCATTGGATGATTTGGGAAATAACAGGATTATCCCAACTGAAATACTGAGAAATTTCTCTAGTTGAAATGGGGTCCACTAATAAGGGTGGCCCTAAATATTTCTATAAAGACAAATACAAAACTATTAAAACATATTACACAATCAATGTTCTAGAAAACTGCAGTTAAAGGGACACTATAGTCACCAGAACAACTACAGCTTATTACATTTGTTCTGGTGAGTAGAATCATTACCTTCAGGCTTTTTGCTGTCACATATGTTCCAACAGTTCAGGCTTTGGTGATGCCACCTGCATTTGATGCCCAAACCCAACTACCTCTGTTTGCCCTGCATCTCTAAGTCTCCAGAAAAAAAAAAACAATAAAAAGGTTTGAAAATTTTACCTGGGATCACTTGAGAAAAGACACCTGTGTAATCATGTGTTCTTCAGTGCTCTGTGCATGCATTAGCCTTTCACAAGACTTGTAAGTCACAAAGTCATGTCAGTACTAGCACACAAGTCAACCACTGACTGATATTGCTTAGCGTGGGGCAGATACCTATGGTTATTTTTGGAGCCCCGACCCACCAACCCATGGGTGGAGGCTTGGGTGGGACACTTAGTCCCCCTCATTTGTATTATAACTAAAGGGGGTTGGGGAGGAAACTAGTTTCCCCATTTATATCATAATTAGAGCTCCCTCTTCCCATGGGTGTGGGGTACTCAAGGCCCACCTCTATTTAATAACAGATCGGGGCAAAGGGGACATTAGGATGTCCAAACTCCCTTTTAATTAATAGACCCTTTCCGCTGTCCAATAGAGGTATTATGTATATATAGAGCCCCACTATGGGGACACTAGGTAAAACTATATTCCTCAATATTCACTTTGTTGTTTCTTTTGTTTTTTTTTTATATAT